GTGTGAAGGGGAATAGTAGGCAAGAGTGTAGTAACACGGCATGGTTGGCGGTTATACACAGATAGTGGAAGAAGGGGATGTGTGTAGAGAACAGTCGGTGAGGAGGACGGGGTAAGGTGGAAAACTTGAGAGGAAGAGACTTCGGGTAAACTACTTGTGTTTCAAAAAAAAAAAATCTGTCGGTTTAGAATTCCAGCCCACCGAGTACGCGACATACAGAACTTCGTTCTAAAAAAAATTTTGTATTTTTAGTAGAACTGTAGACATTCTATATCATGGTATTTTTTAATCCTAAAACAATAAATGGTTTTTAACGTATGAGTCAGGGATCGTTTATAGTCAGTACTGCTCATATTGATACTCAGTCCTCGGAGCTGTCGCTGGCTGCTGCTGGCTACAGCTAGCGGTATAGCCAATCACAGGAGACATGAAGCTGCTGCCTGCAGCTCAGTCTATAATTTATCTATAGACTAGTTGTATACACAAACTATACATGAGGCTGTCTCTAGTCACTGCTGGCTGCAGCCAGCCACTACCTCCTGTAATTGGCTGACGCTTGATACTGTTATCTGCAGCAAGCGGTGACCAATTTCCCATTTCTCACAATTAATAAATAAACGGTCTCTCACATTTTTATGTATGGCAATTCATTCATTATTATTTTTCTTATGGTAAGCTCGTTTTAATTACGAAGTTTTAAAATCATAGCAATGAAAGGTTATTGGGTTATGACATTAGAATTTTTTTCTTACTATTTGATAAATCTTTTATCATTTTTCATAAGATTATAGACAGCTAACAAACGTTTTTCTTTATTATTTGTCTATTTTTTTCTTTATTATTAATGAGCTCAGTACTATAAAAACTCTGTCCATCCATTTGTATTTATCAAAAAAAAAAAAAAAAAAAAATATATATAATCATAAAATGACATCATTGCATTCTATTATTTTGACATCCTTTTTTCTTTCGCTGAGAAAACAAATTATTCGAAATTTAAATCATTCTCAATGGTCTATACTTTTTCATCTGACTCGTTCTTTAAAAAAAACGAATATACAAGATGTTGTTGGAGTGGAATCCTGCCTCAACTCTATCCAAATCACACTGACTTGGAATGTCAAATGTTATAGTCGGTTCGTTCAGTTGATTTTTTTTAGTACCATGAACTCATATCGTTTTCCCTCTGACCTGAAAAATAAAAGCATTGTTTTAACTGGTAAATATTGACAGGTAGATAAAGAATGTGATACAAAATTTTCTGTTAACTACGACAAAATTGTTGGAATTGCTTTTTATTCTCATAAGATTACATAGAAAAAAAGTTTTTGGAATAATCGTACCGGTTTTGTTTGTTACTAAACAAATACTGGAAATTGGTCAGATTTTTTCATTTAACTTTGCTTGTAATTTTTTTTGGAGCATGGTATTGTAAAGGTATCCAAGAATAATTTGTTTTTTATTCAATTATCTGCCAACGGATGCTCGTGAACTTTGAATTTTGTAACATTATTAATATTTTTACTTTTTTTTCATGACAACTTATTCAAAAATATAGAATTTCAAACCTTTTTTCAGAGATTATATTCCATACTTAATAATTTTTATCTAATAGTAGACATGATGTCACAATACGATGAATTTTTTTTAAATTTAGTTTTCTTAAACATTACAAAGTTGCCAAATCAAAGTTATAAGGTGAATTTTGTTAAGTATACCAAGAATTTATATGTTGAGAACGATTTTTGTTCACTTTACTTTAATCATTTATAAAATTTAATCTGCAAAACCAACATTATAAATTAAACATATTATACCTATATTTTACCTTTTTTTACTTGACAGAGTATATATCAGCATTAATTTTAAAACAAATAATTTTGACAACGTGTTTTTAACAATAGTTATTAAAAAATAAGTATTTATCATGATTGCCTGATATTTCTCTGCTCTGCTTCGATTGTAAAACAAATTTTACTACACTAAAAGAAAAAAACCTTAATTTTTACCGTGATTGTCCTCACAAAAATTACCGTGCATACCGTAAACTCGGGCCAAAGCGACATCTCGAGACTTTTTAACGTCACAGGGTCAATTTTTATCATTCTGCATAGTAAAAATCGTTGCCCGATCGGAAATTCTAACTAGGCTGCCTAGTTGACAAGGTAGAGCCTAGCTAGAAACATGCAACATACTTGTTTGAGAAACTCTTTATTTGCTGAGTACAAGGGAAGCGGACTCGGTGACAATGAATAGCGTGCTTTCTGCGTACTATGCTCTGCAGATATTGTTGGTGGACTAGCTGTCTTGAGCGGCTTGCTGGCTGCTGCTTGTGTGGCTTGGCTGGTAGAGGCTTGTAGCTGGCCAGCTGATGCGTGAACCTGTGTATCAGGAGACGAACTGAACTGGTCCCGGCACAGGCCGTCGATGCCAGCAGCAGCAGCGTAATGAAGCGCCGAGACGATCAGGAGGGGGGGCCGACCAAAAGTATATCGTCGAACGAAACATCCCGCCCGCCTCGTTCCAGGAACGAAACTTCAAGTCCCGCCTGCCGTATCCAGAGCGGTTTCGCCTCCGGGCGATGCAGGCTGAGAGGCCGTCCGGGTTATCACGGGAAGCAGCGTGACTTTCGTGATTGGCCTGGTGTATTCTCCCGTCGCCGTTCGGACGGTCACAGCGCGTACGAGGCCGTCCGGGCCAGGGTGAACACCAGTTACGCGGCCGAGAGGCCAGCGGCCGTCGGTCGAGAGTAGAGATGAGTCAAGGACGGCGACGATATCACCCAAGGTCAGGTTCCGATGAAGGGTGATCCACTTCGATCGCTGTTGAAGAGTATTAAGATACTCCCGACTCTATCAGGCCCAGAATTGTGCTCTGATGCCCCGGACAAGCTCCCAGTGAGCCAGATNATTATTAATATTTTTACTTTTTTTTCATGACAACTTATTCAAAAATATAGAATTTCAAACCTTTTTTCAGAGATTATATTCCATACTTAATAATTTTTATCTAATAGTAGACATGATGTCACAATACGATGAATTTTTTTTAAATTTAGTTTTCTTAAACATTACAAAGTTGCCAAATCAAAGTTATAAGGTGAATTTTGTTAAGTATACCAAGAATTTATATGTTGAGAACGATTTTTGTTCACTTTACTTTAATCATTTATAAAATTTAATCTGCAAAACCAACATTATAAATTAAACATATTATACCTATATTTTACCTTTTTTTACTTGACAGAGTATATATCAGCATTAATTTTAAAACAAATAATTTTGACAACGTGTTTTTAACAATAGTTATTAAAAAATAAGTATTTATCATGATTGCCTGATATTTCTCTGCTCTGCTTCGATTGTAAAACAAATTTTACTACACTAAAAGAAAAAAACCTTAATTTTTACCGTGATTGTCCTCACAAAAATTACCGTGCATACCGTAAACTCGGGCCAAAGCGACATCTCGAGACTTTTTAACGTCACAGGGTCAATTTTTATCATTCTGCATAGTAAAAATCGTTGCCCGATCGGAAATTCTAACTAGGCTGCCTAGTTGACAAGGTAGAGCCTAGCTAGAAACATGCAACATACTTGTTTGAGAAACTCTTTATTTGCTGAGTACAAGGGAAGCGGACTCGGTGACAATGAATAGCGTGCTTTCTGCGTACTATGCTCTGCTGATATTGTTGGTGGACTAGCTGTCTCGAGCGGCTTGCTGGCTGCTGCTGGTGTAGCTTGGCTGGTAGAGGCTTGTAGCTGGCCAGCTGATGCGTGAACCTGTGTATCAGGAGACGAACTGAACTGGTCCCGGCACAGGCCGTCGATGCCAGCAGCAGCAGCGTAATGAAGCGCCGAGACGATCAGGAGGGGGGGCCGACCGACAGTATATCGTCGAACGAAACATCCCGCCCGCCTCGTTCCAGGAACGAAACTTCAAGTACCGCCTGCCGTATCCAGAGCGGTTTCGCCTCCATGCAATGCAGGCTGAGAGGCCGTCTGGGTTATCACGAGAAGCAGCGTGACTTTTGTGATTGGCCTGGTGTATTCTTCCGTCACTGTTCGGACGGTCACAGCGCGTACGAGGCCGTCCGGGCCAGGGTGAACACCAGTTACGCGGCCGAGAGGCCAGCGGCCGTCGGTCGAGAGTAGAGATGAGTCAAGGACGGTGACGATATCACCCAAGGTCAGGTTCCGATGAGGGGTGATTCACTCCGATCGCTGTTGAAGAGTATATAGAGACTTTTTCGACTCCATCGGGCCCAGAATTGTGCTCTGATGCCCCGGACAAGCTCCCAGTGAGCCAGATGGTCGAGATCCTGATCGGGTGGCACGGCCTTGATGATTGAATTTAGGGGTGCTCCGATGAGGAAGTGACCAGGGGCCAGCACGTCCAGGTCGTCCGTGTCGCCTGACAGTGGAGTGAGGGGTTGCTTGTTGAGGATAGCTTCGATCCCGACCAAGACGGTTGAGAACTCCTCGTACGTCAGGTGCCGCGAGGACTCGTTGGAGATGACCTTTGACGGACTTGACCGCGGTCTCCCAGAGACCTCCAAAGTGAGGGGCCCCGGGTGGAATAAAGTGCCACTCGATACCTTGATTCGCTAGGGCACCCGCGACCAGGTTCCACCGGTGCTCAGCAAGACGGAGCGCGTCGCGCAACTCGGTGTCAGCTCGATAGAAGCACGTAGCGTTCTCGCTCCAGAGTTCAGACGGTTTTTCCTGGCGCCCAGAGAAGCGGGTGAGAGCCGCAAGAAAGGAGACGGTTGATAGATCGCCTACGAGCTCCAGATATAGTGCCTTCGTGGTGAGGCACACAAATATGGCGATGTAACCCTTCGTGGTGCGAACGCCTCGGCCCTTAGCTGCGAGGACGTGGAACGGCCCAGCGTAATCGATTCCAGTGCGACCGAAGGCGCGAAAGGGAGTAACTCGTGACCGCGGGAGAGGAGCCATCAATTGGACAGCTGATCGGGCTTGGAGGCGAGCACAAGTAACTTAACTGCGTAGGAAAGCCTGGACTTTCCGGGTGCCACCGATGATCCAAGCACGCTTGACGGTGTACGCGCTGGTGGTGCGAAAGCCCCCGTGGAGCGCTCGGTGATGGGCCCACGCGATCGTAAGCGTGGTGAGAGGGCAAGCGCTGGCAAGTATGGGTGGATGTTGCTCCGCGAAGGTCATCTCGGCGTGCTGGAGGCAACCACCCACACGCAGAACACCGTCTGTATGGACGAAGGCTGCGAGCGATGTCAGTGGGTGCCGCTTGAGAAGGGCGCGGCCCGTGCGAAGCAGTGCAAGTTCATCAGAGAAGGCACGCTGCTGGCTCAAGCGCACGCAAGCGAGGTAGGCATCGGTCACCTCGGTAGCCGTCGGTGCTGAGAGCATCGGTCGTGTAGGGGCTTGGCCGAGATGGAGTCTCGCCCACCGACGCAGGTGGGTGAGGGTGCGCAGGAGGACGCCCAGATCGGAGAACAGTTGGAGAAGGTCGAACTCGACCTTTTGCGTGACGTTGCAGAGGCGAGGAGGTGAGGGCTGTGGCGGCTCGGAGGGCTCCTGGGGCCAACGATCAGGGCCTTTGGACAGCCTGGAAGGGCCAGTCCACCATGTCTGCTGGCGGTGTAGAGTCTGGGCATCGGTGCCTTGAGACGCCACATCGGCAGGATTGTCATGAGTAAGCACATAGCGCCAGATGTGCGGTGTCAGTACCTCCTGGACGTGGGTGACGTAGTTGTCGACGAGAGTGTGGTTGGTCGGCTCGGCGGAGCGGAGCCAGTGTAGAACGACTTGAAAGTCGCACCAAGCGTAGCATGGCTCAATAGGGATATTCCACTCGCTGACGACCAAGTGCAGTAGTTTCGCAGCAAGCAGCGCGGCACGCAGCTTAAGGTGAGGGATCGTCATGCGAGCCTGAGGCGTGGCTGACGGCTTGAGGCTTCGGATGGGCGCAAGTTTCGTCTTGGCCAGCAGAATTCGGCAGCGGATTTGCCCTGAGGAGTCCTGCAGCTGGGAGTACACCACCGCGCCCATCGCGCGGCGGCTGGCGTCTGAAAAGGCGTGGAGGTGAATCTTTGACGGAGCCGAAGATCCAATCCAACGTGGAATGAAGAAGCCTTGGATTGATTTTAGCTCAGTGGTGAAAGCTGACCATCGAAGAGCCATTGATGCAGGCACGACCTCATCCCAATCTAACCGGGCGCGCCAGAGATCCTGCACAAGGAGCTTGGCTTGGAGTATGGTCGGCGTGAGCCAACCGCAAGGATCGAAGAGGCTCGCAAGTCCAGCAAGGATGCTCCGCTTGGTGTCCTGTTCTCGAGCTGCCGGGGGTGTGAGCCGGAAAGTATCCGAGTCTGGGTCCCAGCTGATGCCAAGCTCGCTGACGAGGCCGGCGTCGCTGAGTTCACGCCACGTAGGGCGCAGGCAAGCTTCCTATGTAAGGTCAGCCAGAAGTTCGGTGTCATTGGCGACCCATTTCCGGAGTGGAAATCCGCCTGAGCGCAGCAGACCAATTACTTGATCCCGAAGCTGGCGGGCCGTTTCGAGGTCATCGGCACCCAAGTGGATGTCATCTACATACCGATCGTTCATGACGACAGGTACGGCGTCCGGCCACAAGTGTCCTTCGTCATGGCAGAGTTGTTGAATCACACGCAGTGACAAGTAGGGCGAGCAAGTCGCGCCATAAGTGACGGTGCGCAGTTGATAGTGTACAGGCGGCTGACTTGGATCGGGGCTCCAGACGATGCGCTGAAGGTCTGCGTCTCGCGGGTCGACCCAGATTTGGCGGAACATCATCTGGACATAGCTGCAGAAGGCGACGCGATGTCTTCGCCATCGCAGCAGGACTGTCGGTAGTGCGGCCTGGAGTCTCGGCCCGGAGTGCAGGATGTCGTTTAGGCTGTAGCCGCTCGTGGTTGGATGCGAGGCGTTAAACACGACGCGCAACTTTGGTCCAAGGTTCCCGTGTTGCCAGATGCCGTGGTGCGGGACGTAGCAGACCGTGCTGCTCGGTTTGGAGAGCTCTCGGCTGGAGAGCTGCTTCATATGACCGAGGGCGAGGTACTTGCTCATGAAGCGGTTATACTCGGTCGCCATCTTTGAGTCCCACTGGAGGCGATGGTGTAGAGATCGCAGTGAGGCCAGGGCGCTAGCCAGGCTATCGCCGAGGAGCGGTGCAGCATTGGGCTTCATAGGCAAACGCACGATATAACGGCCGTCCGCGTCACGCTGGTAGTTGGCGAAAATCCGCTCGCAGTCGATGTCATCGGGCGCGCGGCGGCAAACGGAGGGCACCTCTTTAAGTTCCCAAAAGCGCTGGAGTAGCATGACGAGCTCGCGATGCCAGGGTGGAGCCAGCTCATCGTGCAATGTCGGACACGCGACGGCGCTGTCCAAGGGGCGCCCAGGAGCACACCCGACTAGAGTCCAGCCGAGTGCTGTATGCTGACCGACGATCTCTCCACGCTGATGGAACCCAGGGCACAGCAGACGGCTGTAGACCTCAGCGCCGATGAGAATATCGACCGCACGAGGAAGGCCAAAGTCGGGGTCGGCGAGGTCCTGCAGGCTGGCCCAGACTCGCAGGATGCTGGGGTCTAGCGGGGCCGCAGGAGTTGAGAGACCGAGGTGGGGTATGCACAGCGCCTTCAGATGCAAACTTAGGGTGCCATCCCCTGGCATCAGGCACAGGCTGGCGCGGAGTGTCGACCTTACGGCGTGTTCGCCGCCGATGCCCGATACGCTGGTTCTAGAATCCTCCAAAGGGGCCTTCAGGCGGCGAGCGAGCTTGAGAGAGATGGCCGAGATCTCAGAGCACGGGTCGAGGAGGGCTCTCACGGTGACGATGGGCCCCCGGCCACCGCTGAGTTGGACGAGCGCGGTCGGAAGCACCGCGAGTCATTACCGGGACTCATCAGGAGTCTTGAGGAGATCGGAGCTGGTTGGCTTCACATGCTTGGGTGGGTCCGAAAATCCTGGAGCTCCGGACAGGCGCTTGCGGCTGTCGTGCAGCAGACTGTGGTGCGCCGCCTGGCAGCGCTGGCAGACCAACTTGGAGGGGCAGTAATGCAGGGAGTGCCCTGGCTTCAGACAGTTGAAGCATAACTTCTCCTGGAATACGATGTGCATCTTGGCGGCTGGATTCAGATCCCGGAACTGACCGCAATGCCCAAGATAGTGGGGTTTGTGACAAACCGGACAGTTCATTGGGGCCTCCTGGGTCGTGAGGGAGCGGAAATTGCGCCCTGCGTGCGTCGAGGAGGGCCCTCGTGAGCCGGCGGAGCCAGCTGAGCGCGCTAGATGAGAAGCCTCTACGGAGCTGAGAGTGCGGCATCTGCGCCGCAGAAACGCAGCCAGCATGGTAAAGGTGGCCCAGGAATCACCGGGCCCGTCGCTGGAAATCTCCAGCTTCTCCAGCTCGTCTTCCCAAGCACGTCTTGTGGTGGCATCCATGCCCGTTGCTGCAAACGCGATGAATTAATCATCCCAGGAGGCGACAGGGCGGCCGAGAGCACTAAGCTGATCGCGATGACGTTCAAGCGTGTCCAACAGCGCTTGGAGACCTCCGGCTGACTCGTCCCGCAGAGGCTTGATGTTGCGGAGCGCCGCAACGTGGTCCTGCACGAGGAGCCGCCGATGCTCATTGCGGGCCTCGAGTAGGCTCCAGGCTGTCGGGTAGTTGGATCCAACGATCTGCACGGAGTCCAAGACGGCCTTGGCATCGCCTTGAGTGAGTGACTTTAAATAATAGAGTCTCTCAACGTCCGTTAGCTGCTTGTCGTCGTGTATGAGGGCTCGGAACAGGTGCCTAAAGGATTCCCAGTCCTCTCGTCGTCCCGAGAAGGGCGGGATGGTGATCGAAGGCAACTTGGGCCCACGATGTGATGCCGGTTCTCCGGCTGGGCGGATTTCCCCGTGGGCCCCGGGCGGGGCTAGTGCGAGCCGAGCGTCATACAGGTGTGACCGGGCATCGACGAAGTTGGCCTCTGCGGTGGCGTATATGTTGTCCGCGGCGTCGCCGTGTTCGGTGGTTTCTGCGGTCAACAAACCCACGTGGTTGACCTTGAAGTCATTCCAGTAGGCGTCCAAGAGCTCAAGCCGAGCCGTGATCAACGAAACTCGAGGTGGACGCTTCTTGATTAGTTATAAGTCGCTCTGCTGAGCCAACTGTCTCGTAAGCAAGGCAACACAGCGCCAGGCGCTCGGAAAGGATGACTACTCTGCGAGCGAGGCAGCAAGGCACCAGACGCTCAGTTGGCTGCATAAAATCCACGACACGGACCTTATGGCGACCGTGGTGGTCTCGAGTGCGCGTGCACTTGTGAGCAGCAGTCATGTGATGCGGGCAACATGGCGGCCACGGGGGCTAACGCTCGCACAGCGAGCAGCCAAACCTAAAATCCGCGACACGGGCATCATGGCGGCCGTGGCGGTCCAGAGCGCGCGAGCTTCAGTCGGCGACGCCTGCAATATGGCGGCGGCAGTGGCTAACGCTCGCACAGCGAGCAGCCAATATGGCGGTCCAAAGCGCGCGTGCACTCGCGAGCGCCAGTCGGCGACGCCTGCGATATGGCAGCCGCGGTGGCTGACAAACGAGAACCACGGCTGCCACGCAATCCGTATCATGGGCAGCGTGGCGGCCATGACCTCCAGCTACATTAATTAACGCGCGTAGACGCGCAAGACACGCGCAAAAACACAAGACGCAGGACTTAATGCGTACTTACATCGTGCCGGCTTTTCTCTCCTTGTTGCTAAATTCGGCTCGAAGGACCAATATTTAAGAAACTCTTTATTTGTTGAGTACAAGGGAAGCGGACCCAGCGACAATAAAGAGCATGCTTTCTGCGTACTATGCTCTGCTAATATTGTTGGTGGACTAGCTGTCTCAAGCGGCTTGCTGGCTGCTGCTGGTGTAACTTTGCTGGTAGAGGCTTGTAGCTGGCCAGCTGATGCGTGAACCTGTGTATCAGGAGACGAACTGAACTGGTCCCAGCACAGGCCATCGATGCCAGCGGCAGCGGCGTAATGAAGCGCCGAGACGATCAGGAGGGGGGGCCGACCGACAGTATATCGTCGAACGAAACAATACTCATTCTGATAAAAAAGTATGTTGTGAATTTTTAAAGTTCGAATTTTTGTTCGTACAACATTGTTCAATGAGGTCTCAAGAATACGAGTCTAAATTTTGAGAATATAATATTAAATGTAAAACATTTGAGGAGATATTTTGCTTTAGAGATCAACAAAGTAGTCAGTAAATTTTACAAAACAGCTACCTAAACATTTTTGTTCAATATTATAGCCTGAAAATTTAGACTTGTATTCTTGAGACCTTGATGAACAATGTCGTACGAAGAAGAATGTTAATTTAGAAAATTCATGTTAGACATTTTTTAGACAGAATGTCGACATTGCATGTTTTCAGGTTAGAATTATTTGTTTATTAATGATAACGTTACGGATTATCAGATTGATATTTTTATTATGTAGACACTAGGAAACATGGATAATTAAAAAAAAAATCATTTTATGACTTTATCTGCGTGTTCAGACGATAAGAACAAATAATACTACGTTGCAATAATATATATATATATATATATA